GTTATAATTCCTGTTTGAAAGTAATTACTTTTGATAACACGAAACTATATCGTACGGAAGTAATTACTGGTGTTATTGTCGATGTATTTATTTGACCTTTATAAGAAACTGGTATATTTGATGTAGTAATTGCGTGTCATATTTCTAATCAACCGAGTAATTGGTTCTTGAACGTTTCTAAAATCAGTTTTAGATCTCGATACCACTTAGGACTCCACTTAGGCACCATTTATTATTCAAAATATGTTTACTTCCTTATGTCACTTGAAACAAAACAGAAACTTAGTTAATTAAACATCGCCGTAATTTAAGGATAAACATAGCTCACAGTCACCCGATCTCCTCAAAATCAAGATGCTTGTGAATCTAGTATGCAAAAGTATAGGCGCAGTGGTTTGTTGTACGTGAAACTTATAAAGTCTAGACGCAGTATTGGAGTCAAAGTAAAATCAAAACACTTTATTTATTGAAGAAAGGGAAACTGGACACAGATAACCTTTAGAATCGTAGAACTATTTCCTCAGAAATTAGAGCGAATCTGATCTGAAAGGATCAAAACTGCATTCAGAATACGCTTTCTCTCTGTAGCTGACCAATCAGAAAAAGTTTGTTTGTTTGTTTGTTTTGGAATTGCGCGCAAAGCTACACGAGGGCTATCTGCGCTAGCCGTCCCTAATTTAGCAGTGTAAGACTAGAGGGAAAGCAGCTAGTCATCACCACCCACCGCCAACTCTTGGGCTACTCTTTTACCAACGAATAGTGGGATTGACTGTCACATTATAACGCCCCCACGGCTGAAAGGGCGAGCATGTTTGATGGGATGCGGATTTGAACCCGCAACCCTCAGATTGTGAGTCGAGCGCCTTATCCACCTGGCAATGCCGGGCTCAGAAAAAGGGCACCAAATTTCGAAAATATTTGTGCTCCACACAAGGTCAGGTATGTGACAAACAACTATTCCATGAAGCAGCAGATAAGCTACTTGACCAGTCAAACTATAAAAAATAACACCCCAGGTTGACCTCGACTGAATTTAGGGTGTTTCAAATCAGAACTTAGAATATTTTTATTTTAAAGTTGGACAGAAAACATATGTTATAAGAGAGTAATGTATTTAGTATTTGCACACTACATTACTTTCTGAAAGTGGATGCCAAAATAGATTGAAACTGCGCCTGAGCATAATTAAATAAGTATACATGTTAATATACTATGAATTTGTATTATCTCAGACTTCAGTATTATCCAGATTACAATTTGCTTATTCTATCTTTAGTCTGATAATTATTTTATGAAACATTATATTTTGTTAACTTTTGAGTTTCTTATTTGTGTCACTTCATTTCTCATTGATCTCTAACTTTTCCATTAACTCAAATATTGAAATATCTTAAACTGAAATATTAATCTCTTTATTTATGCCCACTAAATCTGAAGGTTTATAACACTAAAATCTGAGTTTCGATACTAGTGGTGGACACAGCACAGATAGTCCATTGTGTTGCTTTGTGCTTAACAAAAAACAAACAAAAAGTTTTATTTATTCGGTGTTTCTAACGCCACCTAGTGAATAGTTCTTCACATTCACTATACCGACGGCATTGAAAGATTCAACAAATAAGTAGAGTCAAAGTTTACTAATCTCTGTGTTTGAGGATTCTAAAAACTTGATTCACACACACACACACGCTGAAAATAATTTATGTTACTGGTATATGAAGAGAGGCTATTATACCATGAAACTGATAATAACTAAGGAAATTCGACCAAAGAAGAGAACAACCACTTATTTAGTTGTTTGCTTAATGTACATAATTCAAAATAATTCAGTAGTACACTTTCCTAAATGGAACATGTACAAATAAAACTTTATAGTATTTGTTCTGTTAATAAACCTAAATGTTAATTTTTCCACATTTAATCGATTTTTGACATAACAGGTATTCTTTATGTATAAATTTAAAGATAAATTAGAAATAAAATATAACAGTTAATATTTCATTACAAATATAACATTATAAATGGCTCATAGAAACCTACAACAAACTATACAGTAAAACTCGCACAATATCCGTATTTAGAAAAGCATCTACGGTGTACTAAAACTTTATTTTGCCTTTAATCAAGTTTGTAGTTAAGCACAAAGGTCTATCTGTGCTCTGCCTACCACGGGTATCGAAACCCGCTTTCTAGCGTTGTAAATCCGCAGACATACCGCTATGCCACTGGATGGCTCGCTTTAATGAAATCCAAAATCAATAAAAAGTTAACTTTTAGAAAATTGAATTAAAAACATTTATAGCTCACACTTATATCTGCGTGTACGAGTCATCGTGTGTAAAAGTCGCGCCGATAAATGATTTTGTATTCAAAGTCATTTTAAATGTTTCAATATGATTTTTTTTTCAACGAAAAGTATTTATGTTCATGAAATTACCCACTGACGACAGGGCTTTTAAAGATAAACAGTCTGCTTCTATATTAAAACAATATAGAATGTGCAGATCAGCAAGGCACGAAAAACCACAGCAGATATAACTTCGCTGTAGAACAGAATGTATCAGAACTACTTTGTAATATTATTTGATGTTTAGTACGTAGTGTGATGCTACGGAAAATTGGCCACTTTTCGACGCAAAATATTCATAACTCATATCATAAGAATGTGTTCAGATCGGGGATTTAGAATTTCCATGACGGGGATATCCGTTTGACTTAATGACATTGGAAACTAAGAAATGTAAATCAATTTGGGAAACCAGGACCATTTAAAAAGAGACCTGCGACAAGTCGTATCCCAGTTATGTTAAGCAAATGTGGCGTCTTATAATAGATGAGAATCCACGAACACAAAGGTCAGTCTAAAAAGCTATCAACGTATCCCAGCCAACAGTATGAAACTTAATCACGAAGGAGCTCCGTCTGGAAAAAGGGCATAAGTGACGTATATACAAGTTTATTCCACGACATATCCCTACAAATAACTATGTGTGTGTGTGTAGAAGACAATAGTATACTTAATGTTGAAACTGACTGTTTATACCAATTTTGAATTTATTATGCAGTTTCTATTAAAATTTGCTAAATTAAAATAACTTCTAATGTCCATACTAGGGTGGTGATTATAGTTATTATGTAGAAGTTGAGTATGTTATATCAAAATGATTTAGGACATTCACCACGGTATTACAGTCCGTGTTGCCACACACACTGCCATGCTCTATTTGGTGAATGTGCATCTTGACAATAAACCTTCATCATAGTTTCTACTGCAAATGGTTCCATGGTTAGACTGCCAAGCCCAAAGTACATTTCCTATTCCCTACTTGCTTTTCATAAGCAATCTAGTGTACGAGTATGAGGATTTCTCAACAGTCCTTTCAACAATCCGATCCCAGCAGACTTATTTCTTTTCGTAGGGAACACTATGAAAACCAGTTTAATTTTCCAGCTGACTGTGTTACACACATCTCTAGTTCAAACTAGATTAACTCTATATACTTTAAGACCAAGCCGTCTTTCAAATGTTAAATAATTAACCCTGTAACCTACGACAGGTTAATAAATTCAATATGCGAAAAAACTACATAAAAACAAGAGCAATCAGAGAGATTGCATGTCTTCGCCACACCGCTTCTTTTCGAGATTGCATATGATATGTTGGATAACGTCAAATTTCATCTTCGAAAACTCAGAAAATCCTTCTCAGATCCAGAAAGATCAAAAATCCGGATCATTTTTGAGGAGTCTTAACCTTAATGTGCTCGTGAAATTTGGTACAAAATCCGATCACGCTTTAAAATAGTTATTCACCCAAAATCGCGAAAATGCTCTATCTCCTGATTATATAAAATACTTCAAAGTGAATCCGGACCAAATTTGGAGATGA